TATTTGCAACTTTTTGAGAAAGTGCCATACAGCCTTCCATAGTGTTTTCACCATTTTACATTCCCACCAACAATGAATAAGGGTTCCAGTTTCTCCACAACCTTGCCAGCAATTGATATTTGCTGTTCTGTTAAATTGCTATTCTTACTGGGGTGAGATGTTATCTCATAATTGTTGTGATTTGCATCTCTCTTTGAGCTAGGGATTTTGAACATTTCTTCATGTGCTTGTTGACCATCTGAATGTCTTCTTTGGTGGAATGTCTGTTCTTAATTTGTGCCCATTTTTCGATTTGATTATTTAACTTTATCTTATTGTGGTGCCTGAGTATTTTATAAATTCTAGATATAAGTCCGTTGTCTGACATGTCATTATCAAATACTTTTTCCCAGTCTGTGGCTTCCCTTTTTACCCTGTTGGAGAAGTTTTTGGATGTGCATAGGGATTTGATTCATAGAAGGAACCATTCATGTATTTTATCCTCTCCTTGTTGTAGATTTTCGAGGATACTTGGAAGACTGTTTCTGTTGTGGATTAGGACTTCTAGAGTTCTTCCAAGTTTTCTTTAATGAAGTTTATATTCCTTGGTTTTAGTTCTAGGTCCATGATCCACTTTGAGTTGGTGTTTGTTTATGGAGTGAGGTGTGGATCTTGATTGAGTTTTCTGCAGATATTTTTCGAATTTTGTCAACACCATTTGTCAAAAAGACTGTCATTTCCCCCACTTGACTGATTGCATCTCCTTGTCAAAAATCAGTTGACCATGGGCTGATTTTGGGATTCTCAGTTCTATTCCATTAATCTATGTGTCTGTCATTGTATCAGTTCCATGCTGTCTTGACTACCACCGCAGTGTATTAGGATTTGAAATCAGGGAGTGAGATGCCGCCTACCTGGTTTCTCTTTTTAAGGAGGGCTTTGTGTATTCGGGGCCTCTTTCCAAATGAAATTGAAGATTGCCTTTTCCATCTTGTTGAAGAATGGTATTTGTATTTGTATTTGTATTGGGATTGCATTGGACGTGTAAATTGCCTTTGGTAGTATTGTCATTTTCACAATATTGAGTCTTCCTATCCATAAGCAAGGTATATTCTTCCACTTCTCCAGGCCTCTTTGTTTCTTGTAGTAATGTTTCATAATTTTCTTTAAATAGATCCTTTGTGCTTCTAGTTAGGTTTCCTTCTAAGTATTTTATCTTGTGAAGGGTATTGTTTTATCAGATCCAGTTCTGTATTCTCTTTGTCACTGTAGAGAAATCCAATTGATTTTTGTATGTTGATCTTGTATCCTGCCACTTTGCTGAATTGGTTAACTATGTCCAGTAGGTTTTTTGCTGAGTCTTTAGGGTTTTCTAAGTGTACTATCATATCATTTGCATACAGAGATAATTTTACCTCCTCTTTGCCAATTTGGAAACCTCTTATATCCTTCTCTTGCCCCATTGTTATATCTAAGACTTCCAGTACAATATTGAATAGGAGAGGTGACAGTGGGCATCCTCGCCTAGTTCCTGTTCATAAAGTGAGTGCCTTTAATCTCTCTCCTTTGAGAAAAATGTTGGCTCTCAGGTTTGCATATATGCTTTTTACTATGTTGAAGAAATTCCCCTCTAATCCTGTTTGGTTGAGTGTTTTAATCAGGAAAGGCTGTTGGATTTTGTCAAAGGAATTTCTCCATTGATAGGATCATGTGGTTCTTGTTCTTTGCTTTGTTAATGTGATTAATTACACTGATTGGTGTTTTGGGATTTTTTTATGTTGAACCATCCTTGCATACCTGTTATGAATCCCATTTGATCATGGTGAATTATTTTTTTTTATGTATCGTTGGATTCTATTGGCTAGTATTTTATCCAGGATTTTTGCATCAATGTTCATGAGAAATATTGCCCTATAGTTTTCTATTTTGGTGGTGTCATTACCTGGCTTTGGTATCAAGTATATGTTTTATGTTTCTCTATTTCCTGAAATAGTTTCTGTAGAATTGGTGACAGTTCTTCTCTGAATGTTTGATAAAATTCACTTGTAAAACCATCTGGTCCATGACTTTTTTTGGCTGAAAGTTGGTGTATTGTTTTTTCAGTTCTTCTTTTGTAATGAGTCTGTTCAGGTGTTCAGTTTCAGTTTGTGTCAGTTTAGGATCTTTGTCATTTTCTACGTATTTTCCATTTCCTCTAGGTTTTCATAGTTGTTTGAGTATAATTTTTCCATAATATTCCAGTGTTAGCATTTTTATTCTAGTGGTTTCTGTTGTGATGTTGCCCATTTCATCTCTTATTCGGATTATTTGTGTCTTTCCTTTCCTTTGTTAGTTTCACTAGTGGTTTGTCTATTTTATTGGCCTTTTCAAAAGACCAACTCCTTGTTTTATTGATGGTTTCAGTTGTTTTTCTATTTTCTATTTCATTTATTTCTGCTCTAGTTTTTATAACTTTTTTAGAGGCTGTCTGTTGGGGTTTCTTGCTGTTATTTTTCAATTTGTTGGAAATGTTGGGTTAGAGAGTCAGTGGTCATTTTTTCCTGCCTTTTGATGTGTTTGCTTATTGCTATATATTGACCTCTGTTTACTGCTTTGGGTGTTTCCCAGAGGTTTTTGGTAAGTGGTGTTTTCATTGTCATTTGTTTCAACAAACTTTTTAATTTCATTTTTTGTTTCTTCTAGTACCCACTCATGTTCAAGGAAGGTGTTGTTCAGCTTCCAAATGTATTTGGGTTTTTCCTCCTCTATCACCTTTTTACTAATTTTTCATTTTGTATCGTTGTGGTCTGAGAAAATGCTTTGTATTATTTCTAGTTTTTTAATTTATTGTTGCTTGCCTTGTGACCCAAAATGTGATCTATTTTGGAGAAAGTTTCATGCATACTGGAGAGGAAGGTATACTGTACTTTTTTGGGGGGTGAATTAACCTATAAATATCTATGAGGTTGAGTTGGTTTATTGTGCAGTTAATTCTTGAGCATCTTTGTTGAGTTTTTTTTCTGGTAGTTCTATCTTTTCTTGAGAGGGGTGTATTGAAGTCTCCAAGTACAATAGTAGTGTTGTCTATTTCCTTTTTCAGTTTGTTAATTTTTTAAAAATATATTTTGCTGGTCTTTCATTTGGTGAATAGTTATTATTGTTATGTCCTCTTGTGATCATTTTTGTATTGAAATATATTATATTGGAGATTGATATCACTTTCCTACTTTCTTCTGGTTGCCATTTGCTTGGTATATTTTCCCCCCCCACTCTTTTATTTTTAGTCTTTATCTTCATTTTTCAGGTGTGTCTCTTGTAGATAGGATATTGATAGATTTTGGGTTTTTTAATTCAATCAGCTACTCTTTTTCTCTTCAGAGGTGCATTCAAACCATTCACCTTCAGTGTGATTATTGAAAGGCAGGGTTTTATTGCTATCACTTTGTTGAGGTTTTTTGGTGTTGTTGCTGGTTGCTTTCATCCATCCTGCTTTCTATGGCACCTCTGTAAGAAGGACATTTTTCAGTGTTTCCTACAATGCTATTCTTGTTTTTACAAACTCCCTTAGGTTCTGTTTTTCTTGATCCCTCCTTCATATTTGATGGATAATTTTGCTGGGTACAGTATTTTTGGTTGACAGTTGTGTTCTTTGAGTGTTTGATATATGTCCTTCCACTATTTTCTTGCTCACATGGTTTCTGATGAGAAATTGGCCCTTAATCTTCTTTGCTCTCCCTTATAGGTTACTCTTCGTTTCTCCCTTGCTGCTTTCAGAATTCTCTCCTCAGCTTTGCTTCTGGCAAATTTGATTATGATTTGCCTTGATGTTTTTCTTTTGGGGTCTATTCTATATGGTGTTCTCTCAGCTTTTTGAATTTATTCTCTCATTCTTCATTATGCCTGGGAAGTTTTCCTCTAGTAATTCTTCCACAACTTTTTTTGATGTCTTTGCTTGCTTCTTTCTGTTCTGGGATTCTGATAATATGCATGTTATTTCTATTGATGGTGTCCCACATTATTCTTAGGTTTTCTTCTTTTTCCTTCCTTTTTGATTCTACTTTTTGCTCTAGCAGACCAGAGGTGACAATTCTCTCTTCTATTTCACTGGTTCTGTGTTCTTCCATCACTTCAACTGTGTTCATGTGCCCCTGCATCATGTGGACAGAATCGGAAACATTGGACCTCATATTTTGGATCATTGTTTCTTGTTTTTCTAGTGCCATTAATGACTTGTTTGTTTAATCTGCGTTGTTTTGGATTTTTTTAAGCTCCTCCTGATTTTTGCTTGCAGTGTTCTTTAATTCTTCAAGTTTGTCTTTCACCCATTGAAAAGATTCAATCCTTGTTCTTTTAAATTCTGTGTCAGAAAGTTCCATCAGACTTTCTGGCTTCAGGAAATCCATTGATACTATGTGACTTTTTGGGAGTGGCATCTTGCTTAGCGCTAGTGTACTGTGTGGGATAGTTTGCTTTCTTCAAGACATTGATAGGTTCTTGACCTGAAAACAATGCTCTAGAAATCAGTTGGGCAGCTAACCCACCTTTTTTTCTCTGAACTTCTGGGTCATGGGAAAGTTCAGTTCAGGGCCTGTGAGAGCAGCCTCTTGTAGCTAAGCCAGATCAAGCTGCTCCGGATCAAAGGCAAATTGATTGGATGTGTAGGCACAGGTGTCCAGCCGAATGGAGACCAGGGCAGATGGGGGGGGGGCGTGCAGCAACCAGGGACTTCACACAGATTTTAGCTGTCTGGGTGTGCTCATGAGTGGGGTCCCTACTCAAATTTCAGCTGTCTGTCTCCCACCCAGCAGCTCTCGATCAGCAGTCCTTGGCCAGTGGCCCTTGCCCAGTGCCCCTTACCCAAGTGCCCCCGCCACTGGGTCCAGTGGGTCTTAAAAAAACTCAAATTCCCACTGACCCACTTGCTACTATTGGTCTGTGGCGCCCAAGAGAACTCAGTCAAATTCCTATTGGCCTGCTCACTCCTGGGTGTTCTCCTTGGCAGTTTTCAGTGCCCAAGAAAACTCCATTAAATTCCTACCAGCATGCCTGATCCTGGGTGGCAGGGGCACGAGGAAACTCAGTCAAATTCCAACACTCAATTTCCCACTAACCTTTCTCCTCACAGATGGGTTCCACAGCAGCTCGGCTGGCAGCTTCTGGCTTTGGTCAGCCCGCAGGTCGATGCTCCTGTAGCTCCCAAACGAATTAATTTAATGAAAGTTCTGACTCAAATTCCTACAGTCTCTGTGCACTTTGACGGTCTCTCTAGTGGTCTATTTCTATGCAGCTTGCTGCTCCCTCACCTCCTCACACTGCTTTCTCCACCACAGCCATCTTATAATAATAATTTTTTAAAAAGTTGTGATTTTTTTAGTTATGATTTTTTTAATTTTTTTAATTTTTATTGAATCATTTTTACGTGTACCGTCAAATCAGATCTGACAGGTACAGGAGGAGATTTCCCTCTCCTTCTCCAGCAGAGCATCAGGTGGATTTGAACAGCGTACCTCTGGGATTGCAGTGCAGCGTCTTGCCACTAGGCCACCAGAGCTCCCTTTTTTAAGTTATGCTTTTAATGACTTATTTTCCAAGATTTCCACTGTAGATGTACATAATATGACTGAGTAAAATAGTTCCTGTGTTTTAAGAACTTTCAGGAAACCCAGTGAACCACTCAGTAGAGTTCTCAAATGATAATATGACACTAGGCATCATGAAGTGGGTTCAATTCATAGTGACCCCATGTACAACAAAACACTGCTTGGTCCAGTGTTACCCTCACAACCACTGATATGGCTGAGCCCACTGTGTCAAATGACATCTCATTGAGAGTCTTTCTCTTCTTTGTTGATTCTCTCCTTTTCCAACCATGATGTCTATATGCAGGAATTGGCCTTCCCTGGTAACATTCCAAAGTATGTGAGACAAAACCTCATCATCCTTGTTTCTAAAGAGTGTTCTGGTTACACTTTTTAAAGATAGATATGTTCTTTTGGAAGCCCATGGTATATTCAGTACTCATCACCAATACCACAATTCAAAGGCATCAGTTCTTCTGTACTCTTCCTTATTTGTTATCCAACTTTCACATGTGACTGATGTAACTTAGAATACCATAGTTTGGGTCAGATTCACCTTAGTCTTCATAATGACATCCTTGCTCTTTAAGACTTTTAAGAAAGTCTTTTGCAGCAGATCTTCCCAGTGTAATATAGCATTTGATTTCTTGACTGCTGCTTCCAGGGATGTTGATTATACATCCAACTAAAGTGGAAATCTCGACAACTTTAAAGTTTCCATTTATCAAAGTGTTGCTTACAGGTCCAGTTGTGAGGATTTTTGTTTTTCTAGATGCAGTGGTGATCATCATGAGAAAATCTTTCAAGTCTTCTTCATATATAGCAAGCATTCTTGTGTCATCCTCATAGTGCATATTGTTAATGGAACTTCCTCTAATCCTGAAGCTTTGTTCTTCTTCATAGAATCTAGTTGTTCGGATTATTTGTTCAGTATGCAGATTGAATAAATATGGTGAAAATATACAATCCTGATGTACACCTTTCCTGATTTTACACCATGTATTATCTCCTTGTTCTGTTTGAAAAACTACTTCTTTGTCTGTGTACAGGAGCATACATTGTTCTCTAATTATCATTATTTTCAGTGTTATCTATAATTTGTTACTCTCCACACAGTTGAATTCCTTTGTGTAGTCATTGAGAAATGGGTAAATGTTGCAAATAATGATGGACAGTCTAAATGACACTGGCATACACTTTCTCTAGAGCTAGACCATGATACTTGGTGCATTTTTAACCAATTACTGAAGTAGTTCTCAGGCCCACTAAAGTCTGAGAAATACTGTGGTATGTGCTCAATAAAGGCTTGTTAAATGAAATGCAAACATTCAGAAAAGCAAGGTCAATGCTTGAGTTTACTTGCTGCCTCAGAACAATGAGTCTGCAGACTATCTTGGAGTTTTACAAAGATTTTAAAAGAAGAATAAAACAACGAAATGAATCAGGATAAGAAGAAAGTGATGATATTTTTAAAAGCTTTGTGTCTTAACTAAAATAGAAATGTAAAACACCTCTTTCTGTTTATCTTTTTCCTCAGAATCTGGAATCTGAAAATTCAGAGTAGGAAAAGATGGCAACTGAAAATCTGAAATCTGAAAATCTGGAAAATGAAACAGTTTCTTCGGTTGCTGCTTTACAGGCCCTCTCTAAGCTACTCTGTCCTGAAGAAGAAGCTGATTTCGAATTTGAACAGGTGGTCATATACTTAAAGATAAATTAGTTTTTCTTGAATTAAGTTATGAAACTGTATTTGAACAACTTGTTCCAACCTTGCAGTGGGAGCAGGGGTATGTCATTTGATACATACACAGGAGGTTGCAAAGCTGATTATGCATGAGAGTATAACCTCTAGCACATTTCTAGTGAATGTAATTATATATTTTTTCTAAACCACCTGAACACTGAATAGGAAAATAATTCTGTAACTATGGTAGCAGTCGCCACATTTCAAAATGTTTGTCATTTATATTTATGGCCAAAGAATGCTTGACAACCATAGCAAGAATTATAGCTGGGACTGTTTAAGACGACACAGCATTTCTCTGAAACAAACCTTCTCAATTATATATTAATTGGCCCTCAATTACCAGTCTCCTTGATTATGTTGTAGCTACCCATGAAAGCAGAAGAGAAAATATTTTGAAGCAACTAATGGAACAAACTAGCTTCATTTTGCTGAAATTGGCTTCTGCATACATAACTCGACTATAGCTGTGGAGTCTTAATTAATTAAGGAGCATTAGGGATCAGAACAGGTAACCCCTGGGGAACCTGAAGCACCAAGATGACTTTCATTTTGGCCAAGAAAGCTCCCTGAACTGATTTTAGTCACTCCAAGCTTACTGTGATTATTAGTAGAATGAAAAAATACTTAAAAAATTTTTTTGGAAAGAAACTGAATGAGTCAACCAAACATTTATTAATATTTCATCCAAATAAACATTGTTGACAGATTATATTACAAGATTAATTTAAAAAACATATTTTGCCAAACTCTTAGAAGCAAAATATTTTGGAAGGTTTTAGCAATGTTTAGAAAATGAGGTAAATGTGTTAAAATACTGACTTTGGAACTACCTCTTCTTTGTCAGAGCTTCCATCATCATTCTTTTTGTTTTATTGGGTTTTGTACAATTATTCATATACATTGTACTTCATCCATGTACATTGTATTTTATACAATCATTAATATATTTTTCATTTTATAAAATTACTTACTATTGATCAATATGTTTTTCATTTTTGTACATTATTTTATACATTCATTCATATACCTTGTGTGTTATATAATTACTAGTTTCCCCCTCCCTTTTTTAGAAAAATGTGACATTCAATACTCTTGTCAAAATATATCAAATACAGCTCTTCCCTTTTTGAAAAATTCTTTTTATCAGTTTATTGTCACATTAAAACAAAATGGAAAGCATTTTTACTCCTCTTCCCCCCTATTCAGGTACATAGGGGGTTTGGGTGTGTTTCACAGTTTCCTTCATGGACATTATGTTTCATGCAATCGTTCGCGTTCATTCTGTTTTATAAAATTAATCACCGTTGGACTATGCCCACCATTACCCTGTCTTTTCAGGTCTCAACTGGATATTTCCCATTTCCTTTCCCTCTCTCTCCTCTCCCCTTTCTTATGCCCCGCTTGTCACCTTCTCCTTCTGAACAGTTACACATATCATGTTTCTGTTTTCTAATTGCAATAACCATAATGTCTTTTCATGACAAATGCTTTGATGTTACCCCTATTCTCTGGTCTCCTGTTGTTGTTATTGTTGATTGCCTTTGAGTTGAGCAGGACTCATAGCAACCCTATGAACAAAAGGCCTGAAGCTCCTCTACAACTCCTTTAATATTAGAGGGTTTCAGCTACCAGATTGTCCATGTGAAGGCAAACAAACTTTGGGTCAGAAATATCATTATTATAGTACAATGTATAGACTTGTATAGTATAGACTTCTGGTGGTGTAGTGTGTTATGTGTTGCACTGCCAACTGAAAAGTCAATGGTTTGAATCTAGCAGCTCCTTCGGTGAAAGATGAACAGTCTTGTCTCTTCTTCTACAGATTTATAACCCTGGAAGGGTTGTAAATGGAGGGTCACTACAAGTAAGAATTGCCTTAACAGCAGCATAGTTTTCTTGTATAGTACAATACATCCATTTGTTTAGCATTATTTTAACAAAGTTTTTCATTGTTAAGATGAGCTTACCATGAGTGAACCATTTTCCATGAACATACATATCAATTGAGTCTTCTCTTTCTTTTTTTTTTTGCTATAATGTAATGTAGAAAAACAGGTATAATCAGATTCAATGGCTCAGTGACAATAGATTGGGCTTCTAATTCCCAGGAAGAAGGTGGGTAAAAAGAGCAGAATCAAATAAGATAAGAAACAGAGGTAAAACTTGTAAAAAAGGGAACTGATCTTGGAACTAGACGTCAAGAATTTTTAGTAAGGGAACAACAACAACAAAACCCTAGGAGGCTATGCAACAAATAAGACACACACACACACACACACAAAAATTTAGAGTAATGTATGAGTGAAGTTTTGGTTCAAACATTCTTCTAGGTAGTTAACAGAGGTTAAATTGTGGTTGCTGTGAAGCTGAACACTGTGACACTGATGTGTCAAATGTGTTAATGGTTACCCATGGTGGACAGTGTTTGGTGGAGCTCCCTGAGTAAAACAGCCTTAGAAGCAGAAGTGGCATTCAATTCTGTAATAGCTTGCCTCTGGAAACCCTATGAACCTGGAGTGAGGATGAAAGTCACACAAGTGTTGGGGACTTTCGTTCATAGGATTGCTATGAGTCACCTACGACTCGATGACACTTAACAATAACAACAACTTAAAATAGCAAACTAATATTTTCTGGGGGTCACATCCTTGGAAAGATAGGAAGAATAATTAAAATAAGTATTTGAGAAGCAATGATCTTAAAGGGAATTGGCAACTTGTAACTAGAACAGATTCAGAGATAGGACTTACCCTATTACAATGTCTGCCCCCTTTGGCATTTGTGTGTGGAGAGGTTTATTTGCATCTAGTGGTATTTATAGGGAAAAGTTGAGTGCTTATGAGAACAGAAAGACTATGATCATTTTCGTGAATTGTACAATTTATAGAGGAAAATGACTATAATAATGTATGATTCTCTATATCTGGGTTATAAGCAATTTTGAGATAATTGGTCATTCAGATCCTGCAGTACAGATATCATTAAAGGGTATAGGATTAGAGTATCAGAACAGTGGGAGAATAATTAATGTTTCTAATGAACTATTAAATTTTCCAGGAGAGAAACTGATTTTCCTGTTTTAACATGTATTAATCTTGGGAGCTGTAGGATGATTACAAAAGTGATGTGTTTTTGAGAATACACTCTTTGAAAACAGCAAGAGAACTGTTGTATACATATCAGTTCATTTACACTATCCCCACCATGAATTGGGAGAGAGCTTGCCTGTTGTTTTTCAAACTCATGAAAGGATTTTAAGGCCTATGGAAAATAAGATTGTACTTGGTTGAAATGAAATTTGTTCTTATACTGTAAGAGTAAAAGGCAGTCCTGTGGAGTGTGCATGCTTGTGCAGAAGATGGCAAAATAAATTCATGTTGAAAGAAGGCAGGAGAGGTTCAACATATGCTACCAACATATGCTATCATTTATTTGAGTTATTTCTGTTTAAGTCCATTGTCTCACTGTCATGAGATGGTGGGACAGAAAACTATTTCATACCCAAAGTGAAATAAAGGCAGTTGTAAATATATTTGAATTTGATTTGGAGTATTTGAATGGGTCTTTTGGAGTCTAAATAGTAGACTTTGTTTTGTTTTGTTTCATTTCTGTAAAATTTTCCCATATAGCTAAGCCCCTCCTAACTATGCCTCACTTACTGCCATCTAGTCAATTTCTACTAAAAGTGAACTTCTATTGGGTTTCTAAGGCTGTAAGTCTATATTAAATGGGAGGAGACTGGCCATGTTTCTTCTTTGGGGCCCTTGGTGAATTCCATCAACTGGAGCCATTTGATCTTTTGGTTAGTAGCCCAGTATGCTAGGGACTATGCCATCAGAGTTCCTTTAACTGTGATTCAAACTCAAACTCATTGCCATTCAGTTGAACAGACTCATAGTTGACCCTCCAGCAGTTTTTCAGAGACTGTAAATTGCACAAGAGGCTATTGTTCATCTTTCTTCTGCAAGACAACGGGTAGATTCAAATCCTCTGCTATGCAACTCCTTATCCACTAGGCTACTAAAGGCCCTTTATGACTGCTGTTTTTGTGTTGTTAGAGATCTGAACTCTTTCCTATCCTGTGCCATCCTCACAATCTCTGACAGATTCAAGCCCATTGCTGCAGTTATTGTGTCAATCTACCTGGTTGAAGGTCTTCCTTTCCTTCACTGTCCCTCTACCTTCCCAAGCATTATTTTCCTCTCCAAGGAATAACCTCACCTAGCAACATGCCTGGTGTATCATCTTTGCCTCTAAGAAGCACTCTGGCTGCACCTTCTCCAAGACATATCTGTTTGTTCCTTCGGCAGTCCATGGAATATTCCACATTCTTTTTCAACACCACAATTCAAAGGCATCAATTCTTCTGTCATCCTTAGTTACTGTCCAGTTGTCAGATGCATAGTAATTAATTGTGAAGACCTGGATGGCCTGGATTAGGCACACAATAGTCCTCATACTGACATAGTTGCTCTTCAACAATTTGGAGAGGTCCCTAATACCCCAAAATATCAGTGCTCTTATACTAACAGTTCTAACTTCTATAGATTATTAAGGTTCATTGTCTTATCCCTATTCTATATTTCCTTGTTACTGTTGATTTTCTTTTAAGTCATGATGACCTTATAGGACAGTATATGACTACCTCATATATTTTTCAATCTTTCTGGGAGAAGATTGCTATATATCTTCCACTCAGTAACTAGTGAATTTGAACTGCTGACTTTTTGGTTAGCAGCTAGAGTACTTAACTATTCTACCACCAAAGTTCATTCTCTACCCCCAGGGATAAGGATCTAGCCTGATGAAAGTCCGAATTTCTCCTCTAGTCTCTTAAGTATAATACTTTTTTAAAGGGCAAAGAAAAAAACATTAAATAATACTTGTCTTCTGTCTTTCAGTTGTATAATAATGATGTGTAATTCAACTAGAAGTTCTATATTAATATTTTAGATGAGAAGTGTATAAATTTAAATTATTAAAAAAATTAAATTAGTACTAGTCATTTGTGTTAAACAAATAGTAATTAGAGCATGTGGGACTCTTGTTTACTCCAGTCCAGTTGTTCATCTACTACCGGAGCCATGGGTCCTGGTAATATTGGACCACCTAAAACAGAAGATGTCAAAAGTAAGTTCTTTAATAAACAGTATAGATTAAATAGAGTAATATAATTGTTTTTCTGGTAGAAAAACTATAGGAAGAGTAATACTAACCAGTCTGAAAAAAGGCAAACGGTTGCCATTGAGTCAACTGACTCATGGAAGCTCATGGCAATCTAATGGTGTCAGAGTAGAACTATGCTCTATAGGATTTTTCATGGCTGATTTTCTTTCCTGGAAATAGATCACCAAGCCTTTATCTCAAGGCATCTCAGAGTGGACTTGAACCTCCAACTATTAGTTTAACAGCTGAGTATGTTAGCACTTATTAAAGATGTTCTGAAATAATTGTGAAAATGATGACCATTCATTTACAATAGAATGATGCTGTTGCTACCCCACTGTTGAAGGTAAGTTGTTTTATTAGTAATTTGCCTTGAATCATCCACATTCTTTGACATATATTCTTTTGATGGAAAACAAAAACTGCAGTGTGCTGCCAGGCAACTTTTTATTTCTTAGAGCTTTCTTAACAAGATCTTTAAAGTCTTCACTGACTACTCTCATAGATATATTTCTAGGACCCAATAAACTCTTATTTTACCATGATATGGGTCTCTATGTATTGTACAAATAGTTGGGGTAGATAGAAACTAGGCTTTTGCATGACTGATAGTGGCCATCTACTTTTAAGCATTTAAAGATGACATATAGAAACCCAGGTAACACCGAAATCTGCGTAAAGGACTAGTGATAGAGATTTTCTCTAAGATTCATGTCTACCTGAGGAAATACTAAAGTAAGATAAATGATTACTGTAGTCACTGTTACCAATTTCTTTAACTAATATTGTACTCTAAAGAATTATGCCATGCTTTCATGGAGAAAGTCTTAAAAGTTTTTAATAGAGTTAAACATGATGTAATGCTAAATAAAAACTAGCCAATTAAAAAAACCAACAAATTGTATAATATTTCAAGTTTATGACATTCTGAAAAAAAAAGCAAAATTATTGAGACATTGGAAATCTCCAGAGTCACCAGGGATTAAAAAGAAGGGAGAGGAATGAATAGGTGGAGTATAGGGCTTTTTAGGGGCAGTCGAATACTTTCTTATGGTGTCATAATGATAGACAGTTAACACTAAGCATTTGGCAAAATTCACAGCATGGTACACACAAGAGGAGCTCTGGTGGCTTAGCAGGTAAGGACTTGTGCTTCCAACCTAGAGGCAGGCAGTTTGGATCCACCGCTGCTCTGAGGGAGAAGAATGAGCAATCCCCTCCCTTGCATTGTACAATCTCTGAAAAGCATCTGCAAGATCAGCTATGAGCAGATTCTGACTTGATAGCAATGAGTTTAAAGGGGTGTTTTTGTACACACAAAGAATGAATTCTAATGTGAACTATGGACTTAATAATGCATCTGTTATAATAGTTCATCAATTATAACAATTATGGCAATGTATCAATTATTATGTTACAGGAATGAAAAATGTTAAAAGGGAAATATGCAGGGGGAGGGAAAAAATAGAAACTGAACTTTCTATGCAAGTTTGTTTTGTATATCTTGTAAATTCAACATTGCTCTAAAAAGGAAAGTTCTTTTTTTAAAAATCATGCAATACAAAATAAGACATTTCTACCCTAATTAAATATTATTATATATTTGAACTATTCATTCGTATAAAATGTGTACTGTTTCTGTCTTAATCTTGGTTCTCTCGAGGAGCAAATTCAGTTAAGGAGATGATAGATGATAGATAGGCAGATAGATAGATAGATGTGTAAGTGTGTATTAATTTTAATGTTTTAGGCAATAGTTGTTGCTGTGTACCATCTGGTCTGATCCAACCCATAGTTGACCCTCTGGTGGGTTTTCAGAAGCAGTTAATCATGCGGGAGGAGATTGTCCATCCTTCTCCTGTGGAGCATCTGGTGGATTTAAACCACCTGCCTTCGAGATTACAGCACAGCTTTTTTGCCATGAGGCAGTAGTACAAACTGGCAAGTCTCTAATCTGTGGGTCAGGCAACAGCCTGAAAACTTCTGCTGTTTTGTGTAGTTGTGGAAGTTGACGGATTAAAAAATCTACAGGTAAGGCTGGAGGCTGGGAGTCTCTCCTGGCTCAGATGGCAGAGCAAAGACTTTTGCAGGCTTAAATCCCCAAAGCCGGAAGCCAGGCAAGAGGAAGAGTATAGGGACCATAAAGAGAGAGCTTTGTCAAAACATCCACTTAGATACAGGAGGCAGGTCAAACACTCAGGGAAGTCCCCTTTCAGCTGATTAGCAGCTCACATCAGATCACAGAATAGAAGCTGTTTACATCATTCACTCACTCATTGCCATTGACTCGAAACCAACTCAAAACGGATTCTCCTGTGGGTTTTTAGAGGCTGTAAAATACCTGAGTGGAGACTGCTCATGTTTCTTCTTTGAAGCCACTGGTAGATTTGCACCACCAGGGAGATTCTGCCTTTGGGTTAGCAGAGCAACACCCTACTGACTGTGCCACTGAGAATCACCATGCAGCCAAGTTGACCAATAACATTAGCCATCACAATTTCTTTGCTTATATGTAGACCTGGTCAACTGACTAGAAGAGATATTTATTTATTCTCATTCCAAAAAATGGTGACCCAAGAGAGTGTGGAAATTATCGAACAATAACACTAATATCACACACTAGTAAAACCCTGCTGAAGATTATCCAGAAATGACTGGAACAGTACATTGGCAGGGAACTACCAGAAATACAAGCTGGTTTACAAGAGGTTGTGGCACTAGAGATATTATTGTCAATGTCAGATGGATTTTGGCAGAAAGCAAAGAGTACCAGAGAAATGTCTATCTGTGTTTCATTGACTATGTGGAGGCATTTGACTATGTGGTTTACAATAAATTGTGGCTAACCTTGAGGAGAATGGGAATCCCAGAAAACTTGATTGTGTGCTCATGTGAAACCTATATTCAGACCAGGAAGCAGCCCTCAGAACAGAGCAAGGCAACACTGCATGGTTCAAAATCAGGAAAGGATTGTATCAGGGATGCATTCTGTCTCCTTACCTTTTTAATGTATATGTGGAACAGATTATTCGGGAGGCTAGGTTTTATGAGGAGGAATGTGGCATTCAGATTGGAAGAAGACTCATCAACAGCCAACGAGTTGCAGATGACACAACATTGCTCGCTGAAACTGAGGAAGATCTGAGGCATTTGCTGCAAAAAAGTCAAAGACTTCAGCTTTCAATATGGATTGAAGCTCAACATCAAGAAAACAAAGGTTCTCACCACTGGGCCGTTTGGCAGCATCATGACAGTGAAGAGATTGAGATTGTTAATAGCTTTAGTTTGCTTGGCTCCACAGTCAACACTCTTGGCACCAGCAGCCAGGAAATTAAAAGACCAATTGCATTGGGAATGTCTTCTGTCAAGGACCTCTCCAGAGTACTGAAGAGCAACAACATCAGTCTGGAGACTAAGGTGCGCCTGATCCAGGCCATGGTCTTCACAATTGCTTGCTATATGTCAGAGAGCTTAAAAATGACTATGAATGATAGAGAATTGATGCCTTTGAGCTGTGGTGCTGGAGAAGAATATTGAACATACATACCATGGACTGCCAAGAGAACAAACAGATATGTCTTGGAGAAGGTGAAACCAAGTTTCTCAGAGGCAAGGTTATGAAGCTCTTCTCATACTTTGGGCATGTGACCAGGAGAGACCAGTCCTTGGAGAAGCACATCATGCTTAGAAGGGTGGAGGGACAGTGCAGGAGAGGAAGACCCCAAATGAGATGGTAACTGAGGCAGTGGGGCTAGGTGTGTCAGAGTCAGTAGGACTAGCTTAGGATAGGACAGGCTTCAGAGCTATTGTTCATAGGATCACTATGATGACTTGATGGCACATAACAACAATAACATATATCTAGAACTTATATAAATATATATCAACATGTATAACATATCTACTTAAGTATCTACAACTTATATATGTATATGTATATAAAACATATCTACAGAGAAAATAAAATATTAAAAAGCTTTATGGCCCTTTCTCAAAAAGTTACAAATAGAAATACCATTTGACCCAGCAATTCCTCTACTGGGAATTTACCCTAAAGAAACTGTAACTGTCACCCAGGCAGATATATGCACACCCATGTTTATTGTGGCTTTGTTCACAATACCAAAGAGTTGGAAACAACCTATGTGCCCATCAACAAATGAATGGATAGAGAAGCTCTGCTATAGTCACACAATGGAATACTATGCTGCATTGAAAATCTAGGAACTCATGCCATATTATTCAAAATGGGTGACACTGGTGGACACTATGATGACTGAAATATCTCAGTCACAAAAGGACAAATACTGCATACTGCCACTGTTGTAAAACAGGACTGACCTCAGGGTTGGGAGGAGACTGAGAAAGATGGGATAAATAATGTATACTGCATTGAAACAGATGAGAGATAGAGAGAGAGAGAGAGAGAGAGAGAACAGTTTAAAAGCGATATATGATTGGGTATTATGGTTATGACTAAAGTCCAGAATGAAGGTTGCATAGAGGAGTGTATGGGTGGGAGGAGGGGAGAATTGTATCTTAATGAAGGGGTTTTTTTTATTATTTTATTTTGTTTTGTTTTACTTTTCAAGGAGAGGCGTGAACTGGGGAGAGCGGTGGGCAGGGAGAAGAGTGCAACAATGAATGAATGGAAATCCAAAATCTCTGTAAATTTTCATTAAAATAAAAAAGCTGTATATCAAAATGTTGATATCAACTCTGAGCAATTGGATTACTGATTTTATTTTTTTCTTCCTTTTATTTGTCCACTTTTCCTGAATGTTGCACATTTAATATGTATTAATTTTGTTTTGACCAAAAGTAAATTAATTTGGCTTGTTTGGGCCCCAAAACAAGCTACTGAGTGCAAGTAGGAAATATTTTCCTTGTACTGTCCCCATCTGAGTGGAAGGAAAGTATTATTTAAAGGGAGAGAAACAGACAACAGCTTCATTTTTATCTTCCTTTTCTTTACAGTTATGTCTCAGACCAGGGTTGAACAAAGTGAGGAAATCTGGAATCCAGAAGAAGTGCCAGAAGGAGCCGAACATGATGACATGTGGGATGTTAGAGAAATACCCGAGTAAGTTATATGAAGCCTGGAATGTGTTTCAAGGTTTGAGTCAGATATGTCCTCAGATACCGTTCTATTTTTTTACAAGACTCACCACAGAGAAGATAGAGCTATATTGGGACACAGAAGACATATGTAATTGATGTGATTTATTTCTGTCAGAAAGAAACAAATAATAAAACATAAAGCCTTCTTTTTAGCGAATATCTAACAAAAAAGAAGAAATACAATACTTTCCATTACATATTTGTTGTTGTTGTTGTTGTTGTTAATCAGTGTAATTTCTAGATCCATCTTGAAGTACAACATTGTGAGTGATAGGATTATATCCATATGCTTACAAGGAAGTCCAGTGAATACCACTATCATTCAGATATATGCACCAACAACCAGAGCCAAAGAAGACTAGAT